TACTCAGGATATATTTTTCGGATATTAAAATTTGCGTGATCATCTGAAACATAATGCCACAGCAGCATTCATAATGTAATTGTTGCTCAAACTCATCAGTAGGACATATAAATCACACTTATTTCAAGGTTTTTGCCCTGTGGATAAAAATAAAAGTCTTCATCCTTTTGCTTTCCATCTGCCAAAGTAAAGTTAATCGTCCCATTATAGCTAATGGATTGTTCTCATAGTTTATCCAGGGCATCCTTTTGCCTCTGCATTGTCTTTGGTTTCTGGGAAGCTGCTAATGGGACGCCAGCAAAGGATTAGGTAAACTGTTATGACTCAAAACAAAAGAGTGTCCTGTTAACAACAACAGCAAACAGACAGGAGAAGAATGACAAGGAAAGAATAAACAAATAAGCACGGACATTTTCAGTTTGTCACAAAAATGTAATACAAAGAATGAAAGTTTGAAGAATAGAATCTGATATGTATTTTTCAAGCTTTGTGTTTTAAGTTATTTAGGTATTACAAATCGGAGTGATTAAATGCAACGCGAATAAATCTGTTATGCAGTACATGCAAAGCTAATCAGCTGCTGCTAACAGCCACTTTGCTTGCTTTTCTTCTGGTTGGGTGTTCTTTTTGTGTGTGGCAGTAAAGTGGATTTGGACTCCCAAGTGCTTTCTAATCAGCCTAGATCAAGTTCGCATGAACATATGATTGAATGCTTTTGTTGCACATGTTCTTTCCTAACCATAGACACGCTGCCGCACCTGAGCCCAAGTGCAAAAACCTTCCTCATTAGATTCAACTCTTTTTTAAGACTTGCTTTTTGTTGCAAAAGCGATACACTGTTCAATGGTTAAAACAGATTTGTTTTCAACATGAGTGATATAATGGATAACACACATGCATGCGCTTTGCTGACTGATCCTGCAGAGAAACAGGAAGGAAATGTTTGCTTATGCACAATCAGCTGATGACCACAACAATGTTTCCTGTTCTAATGACCTTCTGACTGTACTGCAGGTCCACTGTCAGGCTGCAGTAACGTCTGTAGTGTATGAATGAGCCATTCATAGTGTCTTGCTGGAAAATGAGGATATCCACAGATGATTTATCAGGAGAAAGCAAGCTCATCCAAGGGCATGATTTACCCAAATACCAGTCTGTTAATCTGTCTGCAGCCATAACACACCAACACAGAGCCGTCAAAGTACAGCGGTCTCAGTTTCAGGGTGACAGATGGTCACATGCTGCCATCAGCTGGTCAAAACATATACAGCATTTTTGCTGGTTGTATAAAAATGACTACTTACTGCAGTCATCCGTAAATAAGTCAGTGTTAATGGGTTAAAAATCCTTTTAAAGGCTATGCAATTAGCGAGAGACATGAGATGCTTTGTTGTACTACTCCACTTTAATAACATTTAAGGCCATCTCGACTCTTCATCGACTTTGACTAAAGAAAAATTAGGCCTTTAGAAAATATTACATTACAAATGTATATAACTTTATTTTAAACACAGCCTGAATACTAACTTGAACACTAAGTAACTTGAGGAATATTTCTCCAGGCTTCTCGAAGAGCATTCAAAGCTCTTCTTTGGATGTTGGCTGCCTTTTACTCTGTTTTCTGTCCAGATGATCCTACACTGCTTTAGTAATGCTAAGGTCCGAGCTCTGGAGAGGCCAGTCCATCACTGATAGTGTTCCAATGTTCAGCATTGGTAGAGTGTTAGGGATCATTGTCATGCTGAAAAATGCCAAACACCTTACAGATGGTATTGCATGATGGCTCAAAATCTGATTGTAGGCCTACTTTAATGCATTTACAGTTTTATCAGTTTTGACAAGATCCCCAACACCACTGGCTGAAATGCAGCCCCAAACCATGACAAAGTCTCCACCATGTTTTACACATGGCTATGAATAACTGTTTGTATTAATCACTAAACCTGATGGTTCCTGATTTTTGCTCTAGTTCTTGTGTAAATTGGCATACCTCATTCTTTTCTCTTTAATTCCTTGATTAAGAAAGCCTTCCTGACAGCCATCTTTCTACTGAGACCATTTCTGGTGTGTTGACAGGGCGCACACAGCTAAAGGGGAGGACGAAACAAAGAGGGTGACACTACACACAACATAACAAGGGGATATGACTCTCGACACAGCCGTTTCGACACTGTGCTGAACTGAATGTTTCCAAACGCTGCTCCGAAGCGTGAGTCAAAACACCCCGATCACGTGACCACGCCTAGGATTTGGTGATCCAGTTCCTTCTTCTAGGCATATCCAAGCGCAAACATTCCAATTTTTTATTAACCAGAATCATTGGGACTTGTAATTACTGAATCAATGTTTTTTGATGCGACAATTTAAATTAAATATGCGCATGCGTTAAAGAAACAATACTCTATTATTTCATGGATTGTGAAAACTAGACAGAAGATTCTAGACTATCTAGAACATTATATAAGTATACAAAACCTATGTAATTTATATATCACAATATATAAATATATTTTTTGAATGATTACTAGAATATAGATTAAAGAAAGCAAGAAAGAAAGAGACTGGTGGGTGAGCTCCATTCACTCCTATAAGCAGAAAGAGAGAGAGTTGCACACTTTCAACAGAAAATGTCATTTGTGGCACTAAGTGACTCCTCAATATATATTTTTTTTCCACTGACGCTTCTATTGTGAATAACTCAAAAACAACTGGAGTTATGCAGGTTCACTATAACCATAACTCCAGACTCACACTGAGTAAAACACAGTGTCACAATATGGAAAATCCATAGAAGTGTAAAGTTCGGGAAAGCTCCCTCATGGTTAGAGGTTGCTAAGCAGAGGTTAATTTAAACATGCCTGAAATGTATTTTCCCGATTGGTCAGAAAATGTGATCGACGTTAACTCCCAGAAAACTCAAACAAATACATCCAAAGTTTGAGGGCTGTGAGCAAAAAACGAAGCCAGCTGAACCCAAAACAGCTGTAACCCTGTGTGACTATTACAGTAAATACGGCAGTGTTTTCTCTCTATGTTTTACTTAATGAATAGATTTATGGTGAAGAACGCGAACGTTAACAGATGGAGAATTTTGCTGATGACTACAGTCACAGATTGCGGTGTATAACAGTCTCAGATTTTTTTTTCCTCGTTTTTGGGGAGATTTCTCCAAAACGTGTTGATCACAATTACTGACGGTCTGGTATAATAAGTAGCTTTGTTTGGAATCGTGCAGGGTTTGCCTGAGTCGTTGTTTCACAGAAAAATATCGAGATGTGGCGATAGCCAAGTTGGCCAGCAGGTGTCACTGTTGAGATGGACTTCAGTGTTTCACGAAGCCTTCCTTTGCCCATCACTAGGGATGGGAAACAGGTGGGAACACAGATGTCAACTATCAAGAGAGACAAGAAAGGACAAGAAGCTGAATCACAGACAGATAAAAAAACTACAGACAAGGCATGAGAAGACAGAGGAAGCATGAAAACTAAACGAGGGACAGAATACAAAACAGCCTGAACTGAGAACAGAGCTCAGGTCAGTAAAAATAAGAAGACCTCAAGCTAGAAACACAAAACACAGAGAGAAAACTAATGAGAACCAGAACTACAGGCTAATCACTGAGGAATTACTACTAACTTGACACAAAGGGATATGAGACAAGAGACAAAAATGGCACTAGACCAGTCATAGGAATTCAAGGGATACAAGGATCCAAAATAAACTAAAACCCAGAACTAGATGTGAAATAAACCCTTTGAATATCAATATACAGAAGAAATCCTGAAAATTAACAAAACTGAAAACACTGCATCCTAAACAGAGGGATCCTAACATCAACAAACAGTAGATTAATTGATTTCATCTCAGGTTCTGTGTCAGTGTTTTGGTGGGTTAAACAGCCTCACATACTTTAACATCATAAACTAATTTTTTTTTTCCACAAGAGCTTGGTCTATACATTTAATTTTTAAGCAACATAAGGAACACTACACTGTTTTGGGGTTTGTTTTTTTTTGAGTTAGTGTTATCAATTTATTGCCATTATCGAGGCACTGCAGGCCCATAGAAGTACAAGGTACTGTAGTTGATGTGTTTTCTTTTTGTAGGTTTGCGCTCTTCCACTTGTTCAGTTTCCTCAACTTTTTTGAGGAAACACTGAACAGCATGCTGAAATCTGACAGATTATCTGCTAAAAACTCTTTGCGAATGACCATTTGTGGCTAATAATAATATTAATATTTTATACCAGTTAAACTGTCTCTCTTGGCATTTTTTTTTTTTTTTTGGCAAATTCAAACACAAATTATGCATTCAAGCTACAGGCCGCTACTAACAAAGTGCTTAAAGATGCAATTAAAAGTTGGTTCTTTGCTAAACTGGTGTCATGTGTGGACACAGCACCCTTGAGTTAGGTGCCTGATTCATAGGTCAGTGTCAAGTTGTTCAACCAATCAGGACTGGACTGAAAGTAAGTGACAAAAAACTTCAAGTGTCTGGCTACGCCGAAGCAAACTGTATATAAATGAGGTAGGCTAAATGCTTTTTCATATATTATTCAGAAAATAACCTATGAAAGCCTATGTAGAGAAGTAAAATATAAAGCTATAACAGACTGTTATCATCATCATCATTATTATTATTATTGTTGTTGTTGTTGTTGTTGTTATTATTAGTGGTAGTACGCCGTTGTCACCGAGATTGCACAAGAACTGACCGAATATCGCAACACTAGGAGGAGTGAATAAACTGAGATCTTTTTAGAGCCCCGAGAAAGAAAAACCTGTTTCAATTTCCTTCCTCGGACCTGCCCACCCGTGCCTGCAGCCCACCTTCACGAATCGAGCACACCTATTAGGGGGTGAGACTCAAACTTTCACGTTAACCAATCAGCTTTCTCGTTCACCGGCGGCCTAGCAGTTGATTGGTTGAAAATCCAGCTTGTCAAGTCTGACTACACTTTGACATTTCCGTCTTGTTATGTTTTTATTTTTTATCTACAGGGACTTTCTATGAACATTGTGGGCTTCGTGTGGAGGTGAATCAGTGATCAGTAACTAATTTCGGGTTTTGATGAGGTACTTGAGTCTCGGTGACTTCTGAAATCCAGAGACATGTCGTCTTTAAGGTAAGCAGACTTTACATAAACCTCAAAATCCCTCAGTCTGAAAGTTTTTGAGTTTGTGTTAAGGTTGCATGATCGATAAATGAATAAAATTACGTCGGGTTATTTGTTAATACGTTAATGACTAGATTGTTGTTGATAATGTTTTCTTTGCTGCGGGTTGTTGGAAGTTGAAAGAGTTTTCTGTTAAGTGGTGTTGGTGTTACAGTTGTGTAATTGCGTGTTTTGCCATATCACGCCTGTGTTGCTGATTGTGACATTACGTCTGCTTTCTCAGAAATGTCTTCCGGCGCAACTGGTCTTGTGATGAAAAGCTGGAGGGAAAAGTTGTTGTCATCACCGGAGCAAACACTGGCATCGGCAAAGAAACTGCCATTGATCTGGCAAAGAGAGGTTCGTCTGACTGAAATCATGAAATTTTAAACCTTTCTTAACTCTCAACTGTTTTTTTTTAAAGTGGTGATTATTTGTGTTACGTATCAGGATATGGAGTTAGGAGGAAAAAGGAAATATTAGCAGGAAATGTTGACTTTTAGATGCGCAGATAAAAGACTACAATGAAGTAAACCATGGAGGAAACTCGTTCAAACCCCACATAGAAAGGCCTCACCTGACTAGCAGGTTCAAGGTCAGGACCTTCTTGCTGTGAGGCCACAGTTGGATCCACTGCACACTCTGCTGCCTCTAAATTGGTTGCAGGTGTGGACGTGAATTTGGTTAAGATAGATGGATGGATGTTTCTGGCCATCCGTTGAGTATAAATCCATCCAGGGCATGGCATGCCTCTCACCCTGTTTCTCCATAACCCTGAAGTGGATCAGCAATGGAGATCTTAGTTACACACGAGATTTTGATAGTCCGAAAAGTTGGGAACGAATTTTTTTTACTGCTGACAGTGTGTGCTTGTGTTAGATGCCTGTCCAGGGTTTACCCTGCCTCTCACCCTATGTCAGTTTGGACAGTCTCAATAGCAGTTGCCTCTGCCACCATGAGTCCTCCCTAGTTATTGCTAAGCTCCACGTACATGTACTTCTTTGTGAGTGTCTTGTCACTCTCATCTCCGGTCCTACAGGTAAGAAGAGAAGTTAGTCATGTCCAGCATGTGTGCCACCCTCCTCATCAGGCACCGCTCCCCCAAACACACTGCTCCACCTCTCCCTACTGCGACCGATCACAGGAACCGCGCCGTGCCATCAAGAAAATGATTACGATAAAAACAGTTTATTTAAACACAGATCTGCCAGTATTGATTCTCCTGTAGATAAATTATAAGGAAGGCTAACACAAGTTCTATTGTTCTGTGTAAATTCTGAGTAAATCCTCCACTCCCATGATGTTGGTATCATTGTTGTGCAACATGTGGCTGTCAGGAAAAGTAGCTGAGTAATGGAACAATTTGGTACCAGTTCCTGATTTAGATCTTTAGGCACAGTTCTTGTTTGGTATAGTAAATTTTTTCTTTAGTTTTAAAGTAAAATACAAGGACAAAATAAACTCGGACACAGAGCATGAAGCAATGTGTTAGTGTGTCTTAATTAGAAGAAAAAATGAATAGTCGTGGACAATTATTCAACAATAAGAAGCTGAATTTTTGCACCTACCTTAGTGGGTCTTCTTACAGTCATTTTATGAAATTGTCTTGCTTTGTCAGAACAAAAATATTAGTTACACACAGCCATTCACTCTTTTAATGAAAAGGCTGTTTTCAGTGGTCACTTTAGTAGTTACACCTGTTCAAGTGCTTTTTCAAGCAAATATCTAATGAGCCAGTAACATGGCAGACAGCAGTATTAATGTTAATTAATATTTTTAAAAAGTATTTTTGTATGTGCACATGGCTGAAAAGGCCAACTTTGGTATGTGGTGTAACAGGAGAATTACACAATTAAGGTTCTGCCCAGAAATGAGCAATTGTGTGCTTTTCATTTCGACAACAGTGTCTGAATAATGTTTGATCTGGGAAGGGTTAAAATGCCATTTCCAAACAATACGAAGTCCCTTATTTTATACTGAGAAAGATTATTAAAAAATATTCAGGACAGTTGCCAATTTTCTCAGGAGTGGATGTCCCAGAAAATTAGCACCAAGGTCGTGCAAAACTCAGAGAAAAAAAAACCCAAGAGCTACATCTCAAACTCTACAAGGCCTCAGTTGAATGTTAAAGTTCAGAAAAAGACTGAACAATTGTGGGTTACCTGGAAGGGCTGCCTGGTTAGAGAAAAAGTATCTGAAGAAACAAGATTAGAACAAAGGTTGGCAATAATGCATAATGCCACGTTTGGTGAAAACCAAATACAGGAAACTATCACCTACACCTCATGCCAACTGTAAAGCAAGGTGGTGGAGGTGTGATTATTTGGGTTTTGCAGCCACAGGACCTGGGCACATTGTAGTCATTGAGTCGACCATGAACTCATCTAGTGTACCCAAAATATTCTAAAGTCAAATGTGAGACTGTTTGTCTGACAGCTCAAACTTGGCCAAAAGTGTGTCATGCAGCAGAAGCAGAGCAACTCTAGCAGAATGGCTGCAAAAGAAAAGAATCGATGTGTTGCACTTGTCCAGTCAAATTCCAAACATCAACCTGATTGAAACACTGTGCATGAATAAATGCATGCAAACCTCAATGACCTAAAGTAATATTGTAAAGAAAAGTGCACCAACATGTGTCCGCAACAATGTGAGAGACTGATAC